CCAAATTCAATTAAAATAAAATGTAAAATTGAAATAAAATATAATATTTATACTTGAAATATATAAAAAGATATGAATATGATATAAAATCTTATGTAAAATTAATTATAAATTCTATAATTAATGAAATTTAACTTGTGTCCTTAGGGCAAAGGTTAGCCAAACCCAAAAAAGATAATTATTTTTAATAAATATGAATAAATTTCAACCATCAAAAGTAAAAAGATAAATAATTGAGAATTTTATATAAATATAACGTGTGAAGTTAAATTTGTATACAAATAAATTTTTATTCCATTTCAAATAATAATTTTTTTTTTTAAGGAGTTTGGTCACATTCTTAATTCTGCATCAATTTGAACGTATCAGATTAAAAAGTTGGATTGAATTCACCAAAAACCTACAAAGGCCGCATACTCTGTATTAACAAAACCCCAGGATGAAGCAAATAGAGATGTGTTCAAGAAATTATATGTAATCCTGTTATCCCAAGCAAGGTTAGCGCGCTTTTGGGGCAGGGAGCTGCTGGGAGTCCTTTGTAACAGCAGAGTCATATTTTTGAGACAAGGCAATAAGGGAAGAATGGGAGGCCATTTGGTTTTGATACCTTTTCTTAATAATGATATCTTTAGCGCAACAATTAAATGGAGCAACTCTTTTCTTTTCTTTTCTTTTCTTTTTTTTTTCTTCTTCTTCTTCTTCTTCTTTTTTCGATATTTTTTATACCAAAAACAATATGCAATGTTGCAATTACTTACCTGAATCTTTTGCAGTAATGCACATGACCATGACTCTACTGTATAATTATTAGTACATTTGCAGTTCAGGACCAGCTTCTATTAGTAATAATAATTTTTTAAGTTCAAAACAATAAAATCCTAACAACCATTATTTATGGCAAATTAAAGGAGGGAAAAGAAGAAAAGGAACCCTAACAAACCAGTTTTCCTATTAAAAAATAGGGTAATAATATTCTTGATGTCATTCCCATAAAAAAAAAAATATTCTTGATGTCATGAAGTGTCAGCTAAATTTTATAATTCACATGGTTTGGAAAAAAAAATTTAAAAACAAATATTACAAAAAAAAAATCCTTAAAAAGTAGTGCACGTTACCTTTTGAAATTCGTTTTGTCTTTTTTATGCCACTTGTTATTATTGTTTTTTTTTTTTATAATAAACATACAATTACCTAAAATCAAAATGTAAAAACATAACATGTATAAGTATCCTTCTTTGAAAGAAAAATCTTACTCAATAAAATTGCGGAACAAATTTTAAAATTAACTCAATAAAAAAAATTAAATACAAGAATATGATTACTACTATTTGTACGTACGCGCACTTGATTGGGTATAATTTGTCGTAGGAGAATGGGAAATAATTTTTATATAATTTTTTTTTGGTACAATTTGACATGTCATTAAAATAATTAATTTTTTTAATTTATGTGAAACTCATAATATTGAATGCATTAAATCATTTAATAATATGTGAAAGTTGAATGAAAAGATAATATAAATAAAGTGTACCTATAGTACCACTTATAGGAGAATATTGAAATTTAGTATAAATAAGAATATAATTTTAAAAGAAAATTTTAATTAAGAATTTTTTATTGCTAATTAATGTTATCACTTTTGAAAAGTTACTAATCAAATATATGAACTTTTGTGATTTTACTAATTAAAACTATCACTTTTCAAAAAATTTTAATTAAAAATATGACCTTGACTTTTACTTAATCTTATTTTAGAAAAATTGCAAAAAATTTATTTTTTTATTAAAAACTTTTGAAAGATAATAATTTTAATTAATAAGAAAAAAATGTCATATCTTTAATTAAAGAAATTTTAAAAAGTTATATATACGTCCTTATTTCTACCAACTCTCAAGAAATGTTAGGAACACTTGGTTGATGGTTAGGGAGAGAAGAATGGGAGTTGGAAGCATATACTACACAGCTTGGCCACAAATAAAAAGATATAAATATATAATTATATAATTCAGGCATAATAATTACTATAAATATATATTTTGAGTTGCATATTCCATACAAAGGAGTAAATTAAAGGATAAAATTGAGAATTAGTTTATATTATGCTACCAAAATAAATTATAAATACATATGCAAGGGACATGAGTCCTTGTACCATACACTTTATACCATACATTTTGGCCAATATATATACAATCATACATATTAATTACTATAAATATGTATTTTGAGTCGCACATTCCATGTAAAGGAGTAAATTAAAAGATAAAACCAAAGACTGACTTCTATTATACAACCAAAATGAATTATAAATACAGATGCAAGGGACATGAGTCTTTTGGTGGTTGTTGAAAGTCTACTTTCAAAGGAATCATCCCCTTTAACAAACAATGCATTATTTGGATAATTAACAAAGAAGAAACCACAATTCCTTCTTAATGGTCATGGGTTGCATTTTGCATGCTAATGGCAGTCTGTCCCCACGGCAGCTGTTTTAAGCTTAAACCAGAACTGTACGGCTTCTCTACCTTTCCCCATCCGGACCCAATTTTAGCCTAACCCCTTCCAATCATTCAAATAATTACCTTTTTCACGTAGTTCGATTTGTCTCTTACTCACCTTTGTGAATTTAATGCAGGTACGCAATACAAAGATGGCGAAGATACCTATATGTTTACTCTCTCGGCCAAAATAATTGACTATTTTTTTAGGGACCTTTTTATCTTGTACTTTTTAGAGTGTAAGGTAATAGTATAATAAATATATTTTTTATAATTAATTTTTATTAAATGTATAAATATTGATTTTAATTTAATTAATTAATTAATTAAAATCATTTACGTGTCAATAATGTTAAAATATATATCAATTTTTATAATTTTTAATGTTAATTAATTAAAAATATATATATTTATTGTGCCTTTAACCATGTCATAAGGACATAAATTAGATAAACTTTTTTTTTTCAATTTATTGTAAGAGTAGTGTTTTTAGACCCTTTTTTTTATATATATTTTGTAACTAATTTTTATAGTTTTAAAGACACCCCTATATTCGTGTGATGTATTTAAGGAAATTAATTCTTTTAGGTAGTCTTAGAACTTAAACTTTGGACTTAGTTTATAAAACAACACTTTTTTTTTAGTGGCTTTAATTCTTAAATTATATAATTGATTGTTTTATAATTTTTTTAACAAAAATTTAGATACAATTTATATATTTACCTATATTATTTTCTAAAAAAATATAAAGATAACAAAAAAAATTTAATAATAAGATAAATAATTAAAATTATGACATGGCAATAGGGTTAAATAACAATATAATATTTGTCACCCTTAAAAATGACCCAAGTTATGGTCACACAATGATTTGGTGGGCCATACAAAAACTTTCTTCTACCATGTTAAAATACTATTTCATCATATAAAAGTGATATTGTTCTTTAAATTGAATGGATAAAATGGTAATTTGGTAAAGTAAAGTTTTTGTGTGCCCCAATATATCATTTGTGCGGCCTTAAAACGGAGCCTTAAAGAATAAAAAAATAATAATTAGTTTCAAATAAATTTTGAGTAAAAAAAATAAATATTATTTTGGTAGGGAAAGAGTGAGATCCAATATGATTCATAGTAAGTCATGTTTTTTTTTAAAAGCATAGTAAGTCATGTTGATTCAATAAGAAAAAGTGTATTTTTTAGCCAGTTATTTATAATTGTCTCATAATTACATTGGTTAATATGAGAAAAAAAAAAAAAAACAAAAACAAAAAGGTTAGGACATGACTTTTTTTTATAAGCGGAGGATGAGAAACAGGGAGAGTACATTTTATTATGCGAATTAATAACTACAATTTTTAGTTTTCTTCTTATGATGTGCTACACAACTAGTTATTTGTAGCTAGAATAGAGAACGGAGAATACCAAAATTGATCTAGATGAGAACTACATTTTAAGCTCAAGGTATTTTGCTTCACGTAATACAATTTCAATGCTTTTGGTGCATGAAAAAAGTACCTTTGAATCTTCATTTTCCCATTTCATGAGTTATCTAAAAGCTATGCTCTAAGCAGAGAAAGAGATATACACAGCAAGAAAAGCAACACCAAAACAGAGATGAACACAAGGGGGCGAGAGAATGGACCCAATTTCTTATTACCCTTTTTAACCATCTTATTGAGGACACTTGATTGTTCTCCAAGTCTTTGAATCACTTTTTTACTGTCTCCATTATTCTCTTTCCTCCCCAGAAAGTAAAAGTTGACCACACAATCAAAATCAACCAGCAGTTTTATTCACTTCTTTTTACCCCAAAAGAAAAAAAAATTATCAGCCATATGCTCCAAAATGACTGAGATTTTGGCCACTTTGTAAGAGGTTTTGGACCACTCCTTTCCCCCCAAATCATACATACTTCTTGAGATGCAAGGAAGGTATTCCTTCCTTTTGGCTCTTTCATAAAAAAATTATTATAATAACACTGCATCGAAAACCGTAAAATGATGAACATAGTTCAATTGATAATCACTAACTTTCTCCTGCAAACTTATTAAAGAGAAATTGAAAATGGGCTTTCATAATTTTAAACAATTGAGAGAAAAAATATATTAAAATTGTAAATGTGATGGTCTTGTTCCCCAAAATTAGATAGAGTTTTGTAAAGAGGCAAAAAACAGAGGAGATTATGATTTATGGATTAATGATATCCCAAAATGAAGGTCCAAACCCAGCTGGGATGATATTTTCTTCCTCGCCAAAATAACCGCAATGCTCCTCGTAGTACCACGGTAGTCCGCTCGGATACAGCCATCCTTCCACCGAGTCGGCGAACACAAAATCGGTTCCTGACTCGGTCAATTCGTAGCTCGTACCCAGACTCGGCAACTTCACTATCTCGCTCAGCTCCTCCGGCGTTGACGCGTCGTCGCTGTTGGATGCTACTGATGATGTGGATGTTGATGAGGAAGATAGTGATGAGGAATGTGACCCGTCGCTTAAGAACTCCATTGTGGCAGCTTTCGCTGCGGCGGCCTGGACGTCTCGGGGCGAGTTGGATGCCGGTCGGGGCAAGGACCCGGCGAGCTCGGGGAAGTTGAGGATAGCAGAGTCGCCCTTGATGCTAAGTGCGGCTACGTCGTGGGCGCGTGCTGCCATTTCGGGGGTGGCGAAGGTGCCCAACCAGATCCGGTTCTTCTTCCGGGGCTCCCGGATTTCTGACACCCATTTCCCCCAAGTCCGCATTCGAACCCCCCTGTAGGCCGGATGCAGACTACTGTCCCTCGGACGTTTCGAGCGATTCGTCTCTGTTTCGCTAGATTTCTTCGCGGCTGACTTGGGTATCGGATTGGACACCCCGGAGGAGGATGATGAAGACTGAGAGAGAAGGAACTCGTTCTCTGAGTTCTGTGAGTCACCCATTGGAGTTAGTGACACAGTTAAGATATATGTAAGTACCCCTGTAAATATAGCTTAAAATGTGGATTCTGTTTCTGGGTTTCTCCAGAAACAGACAGAAACAGAGAATGAAAGTGAGATCAAGATAGATAGAGAGGATTATGGAGAGGAAGTTCGGAAGTGAGTGAGGAGAGCAATGGAGGGGAAGGGGTTTTAGTAAGGGGAGGAGATCGAAGAAAACATGGAGATTATAAGGAGTGGAGGGGTTTTTAAGCCCATCATCATGGCATCTTAATGACGCATCTCACAAATGCCCATAAAAATACGAACTTAATAATAATAATAATAATAATAATATATGTAGAGAACATAATATTAGGACAACGACCCTAGCCAGGGACTGTCAAAGGGTACAGTGCAAGAATTGTGCAAACCAAGAGTCTAGGAGTTCAAGACCTTCTCTAAAAATGGGCATTCGGTAATTTGATGATACGCGGTACAAAAATATTTATTTTTTTAGGATTTTATAGGTAGAAGTTAAAAATATATTTATTATATATTTTATTATTAATTTATATTAAAAATTATAAAAATAAATTTTATCTTTAACATTATTATTAAATAGGATTATTTTAATTAAATAATTAATAAAATTAAAATTAATTTGTTAATATAAATTAATAATAAATAAATAAACCCTTAATTTATATATAATAAAAAATTCCTTATGTTAATTGTTTATTCTAATTATTATGTGGTACACGCTTGCTCAGAAAGTGTTATAAAGAAAATAAGTTTTTTTTTTTTTTTTACATACAAATACATAAATTTAGTTACTTAAAATTGCATATGATGGAAGTCTTATATATAGTTAATTTAAATCAAAATTTTTTATATTATTAACTCAATCGAATTCTTATTATTGGTACGAAGGTGATAATTTGACAAAGTGACTTACTTGAGGAAAAATGCTCCTTTTGAACGTAAATTTGTTGGTAAGTATATCATCACACAGGTAGTGTATAAAACTTAATAATAGATTAATATAAATAAGAATATAGATTTTTAAAAAAAAATTTATTTAAAAATATAATCATTGTAATTTTATTAATTAAATTTATTATTTTTTAACAAAATTTTAATTAAAGAATGACTTTGTGCATTCACTTAATTTTTTTGAAAATTACATAAATTATATCTTTAATTAAAATTTTAAAAAAATAATTTTAATTTTTAAAATAAAAAATAATATATTTAATTATATTTATTTTAAAATTATATTTTTATTTGTATCAAATTTCAACTTGGGAGCACACGCCACACCCCACACGCCCTTGACACGATAATTAAATTGGCGTCAAAGGATCAAAAAAGGAAATTAGTCTAAAATGTTGATGGGTTTTGGCTGGAGGCTTTCATTGAACCTAAGCTCACAGCCTTACGCAAGCTTCAATATAGCTGGCATAGCCGCCTCCGGGTCAGGGGGCCAGCCTTTCTGTGCTATGCTGCTGGTTCTGACCATACTTCTCAAACCCCTTCACCATGTCATTAAAGACTCTCCTTTTATTCTCACCGACGTGCCTGCTAGCCAGGGCAAAAATCTGTAACCTAACAGATGACATGTTCTATCCACCCATCCGGTATAACAGATAAACCGTGGAAAGACGGGGGCAAAGAACCGTGCGCTTTGTGAGCTATTCCATGGTTGCTCGATTTAGGCTTGGCTCAAACTTCACTTACTTACTAAATGAATCTAAGCTCAATTTTAAATTGGATAAATAATTAAATTTGAATTTAAGTTCGTATAAAATGCTTGCAAATCACCCATCAATAGTTTATTTAGAATAAAAATTAATAAATTATATTATTTAATTTAATTTTTTTTATCAAGAAAAAATTGAGGAAAAAAAGATAGAGAAATTGCTATTACAACAATTAAAACTCTGATAATTGCTAAGAGTATAGTGTACCCAAAGTAACGCAGCCAAAATTACAAGTGCATTTAATTTAATTATTTTAAATTATAAGTAAATCGATAGGTTCATGTATTATTTGATCCAAGCTCAATTAGTTTTTTTTATACTAAATTTCTTTCCATATTCAAAATTATATTAATATTTGATTAATTTAAAATTAAAATAAATCAAACATCATAAATTTTTTTAATAATTATTTTTTTATTTATAATATTAAAATTCAAAATTTTATTTAAAAAACTGAACACGTTTGACTTTAACCGGCCTCACGTAACTCAATCAGTTTATTAAACAAGTTGAAATTGAACTTTACTCAAAAAAAAAAAAAAATGCGGTGAGCTTAAACTTTACTTTTATGGCATGACAAAGCTTAAATTCTGTTCAACTCATTCATAAATTCTATTGGAGTTGATTCGTCAAATTTTTTTTTTTTTGGGGCAAAAGTCGTATGTGGGGCCTTCAACTATACATTCATGTTCAAAATTTAATTTCTTAACCAAATAATTTAATTGTTTATCATTAATTAAAAAAAATAAAAAATTTTCATCTTCTTTCCCTTTCTTCTCTCTCCTCCCTCTTTTCTCCCCATCCTCTTTTTTTTTGTTAAACCTTCAATTTGGTCCCTAAATTATTATATAGATCTTGATTTGATTTTTAAATTTAAAAAATCTCTAATTTGATCCTTAAACTATTGTACGGACTCAATTTGATCTCTATTGTTTACCAATTTACCCCAAATTAGTTCTTTTGTACAAAAAAAGTTAACGTATCCATTATTTAATAACAAAAAATAATAATTTTATGATAAAAAATAGTAACTTAACGATTACGTGTCATGTTAATAACAAAACATATTAATTGGTTTTTATATAGAATGATCAACTTGAGATAAATTGATAAACAGTAAAGACCAAATTGGGTCTGTACAATAGTTTAGGGACCAAATCAAAAAGTTTTTTAGTTCATGACTAAATGAGAGTCCGTACAATAGTTCAAGAACTAAATTGGGAATTTAAGCTTTTCCTTCTTTTTTTTTTGGGTCCCCTTTTTTCCTGGTTAGGATCGGGTCCTTCTCAGAACCTAGAATGGGTTCTTCTGATCGGGTTCTTACCAAGGAACCCATACCAGACTGGGTTATTCGACGAACCCGATCTGAGTTTTCTTTTTTTTATGAAGCTCTAGATCTGCAAGTGAAGGGTGTTAAATCAAGTGTTTATGTGTTAAAATTTCTTGAATTTTTGGTTTCTGTGTAAAATTTAAGTGTTTGTTTATGTTGAATCTTGAATGGTTGTTTGGAAGTTGAGGAATTAGTTATCTGTTTGTCAGAGGGGAGAGAATCACTCTTGTCCTGGAGAAGAAGATGACTTTCAAATTTTTTTTTATAATCATTTTCAATTTTTTATTTGATTATTTAAGATTTAAAAAAAAAATGGAATTCAGAATTCCTGCAGAGATCAATATTGCACGAACGAACGAAATTTTATTTGATTAATTTTTCTTTATTTTTTATAAATTATTTTCAAATTTTTATTTGGATTTTCAACCACTTTGATTGTAGGCAAAATTCTAACCTGCTCATAATTTGACAATTTGTAGTTCAATAAAAGCTGAATCTAACCCCAAGCTGAGATTTTTATTGATGCACAACCACAAGACATAAGTTACAGGGAAGGAAAGATCAATATTGTACAAAAAGGAAATTTTATTTAGTGTTTCTTCAAGAAACCTTCAGCCATCTTAAAGTAGTCTCCATACCCACTTCCGGAATGCCCTTCACTACCGCTGGAGTCCGCGGTGGTGGCGGAATGAGAGGAAGACTGGTGGCCGAGGAAACCTTCAGCCATCTTCAAGTAGTCTCCATACCCACTTCCGGAATGCCCATCACCGCCGCTGGAGTGCGCGGTGGTGGCGGAATGAGAGGAAGCATGATGGGTGCTCGTAGCACCGACAGTGGGGGGTGTGGCCTGGGATGTGTGGTACTGATGCAGATAATCCTCAGCCTTCTGCACATACTTGCCGAGACCCTTCTCTTCTAACTTGCCGTAGTGAGAGGCTGCACCTAGAAGGTCTTCGGCTGCGCCGGCAACCTTGACCCGATCAACCTTGTCCGATTCATGGCGGAGCGTGGCTTGGGCCGCCTCGGCCACCAACTTGGCACTGGCAAATAGCTCGGAGGAGGATGACTGGTGGTGCTTTGGCGGGTGAGCGCTAGGTTTGTCGTAGGAATCCATGGAATTTGCTTGGGCTAAGAATAGAGATTGGACTTTCAAGGGGCCTTCTTCCTAGAAAGATGTGGCAATAATTCAGTCTGCTCCCCCCCCAAGATAAAGACTATCCCGGATCCAGAATTATTATTCAATATATTTTTGAACGGTTTAATTTTATTTTAAACTAAATAAATATAAATTTTGTGGAATATTTTAGAATAGTCAACTTTATCAAACTTCGGTTAGTTTTGAGGAAAAGATAACGGAAAAGTTAAGTCCAAGATATAACAAAAGGTTTAAAGACTATTTTGGTCCCTAAACTTTCAGTTTGGCATCAAAATTGTCCCTCAACTTTGAAAAAGTACCAAAATATCCTCAAAGTTTCATTTTCGGTATCAAAATAATCCTTTCATCAGTTAAGTGGACAAGTAGTACGTTAAAATGTCACAAAATCACTAAATTTTTTGAATCTTAATAATGTGTAAATTTAACAGAGAAAATTTTGCCCGCCATGGCATTTTTTTTTACACATCAAATTGTCACCTTCTCAGCTTCCCTTTTAGTGGGATCCACATAAAAATTTGTTTTCTCATTTTTCAATTTGAATTAAGTTCACAACAATGGCAATGTTCTTCGTTTCTTTTTTCATTTTCTTTTTAGATTCAAAATCCTAAACCTGCTACTTTTGCAAAATCAAAATCAAATCAAGTTTTTATATCACCATGGAATCTATTGATTGAATATGTTGATTTGGTATTTTTATTATTAATATACAATTTTCCAACCTAAAGAAAAAAAAAAAAGAACTTTATCTTCTTCCTCCTTTCTTTTCCCTGCTCATCCTTCTTCTGTCTTCTTCTTATTCTTTTTCTCTCTCTCTTCTCCCTTCTTCCTCCTCTCCATTTCTGGGTTAACCTGGATTTGGGTTTGAGAAAACCCAAATTAATTATAGGAACTCTCTTGGAGAAGTTGGGAATTTTTTATGCTCTTTATAGCCGGGCTCAGAGTCTTATATTGTTACAACTTAAATGGGTCTAAAAACTAACCCAATAACAATGAGAAAAACCCTTATCATCAAATACAAAAAAGCAAGGTTGCCATTGCCACCCCAAACCAAACATAGGAGTATCTCAACATCTAAACCTTACTGTTCCCAAACTCTCACTATGTTGCCAATGCCCGTTGTTAAGGCCACCAAGCTTGAGACCGAGGGGGTTGTTTCTATTGAGAAGCCCCAGGTATTCCATCTACAAGCCCTATTCTTCATTTTGTTCCCACTTGGGATGCCTTGTGTTAATAGCAGCTAACCTTGAGCAAGCGTAGCTTTACAAGTGGCAGCTCAAGCGAGCCAAG